ATTGAAAGTAATAACAACATTGTGTGATTTTGATTTTGGAGCGAAGCGTGCCGTTCTCAGAAGAACCCTGCTAAGAAGAACCCGTCACTTTAAACCTCCGTCTTGCTGGAAGAATTTTTTAGTTTCCCTTGCCAGTTTGTGTCATCGGGCTTCTACCGTCTGTGCAAGAGGTTGTAATTTTATTTTGACAAAAGTTCCATTTCTCTCCAGCATTCAAAGAAGAAGACATGGCGTTAACGTCTTCACTCCCGGATGGATTAGACAATGTGGCTGAGGGAGCGCAGTCTGTTACGGATGGCAGCAATCCTCGTACAGATAAAAAGAGACTTTCCATTCGCTTGCGGAACAAACTGGCAAGTCTAAACGCCGCGCCTAGTGCCGACAGCGACTAACGTTAATAGGAAAAGAGTATTTTATTAATAATTTCTGAATTAATAATTCATTCTTGGAAGATTGATCACTGTTTGAGTGTTCAAACCAAAAAAGAAAGGTAAAACAAAATTTTGCTTCATTGTACTAAGGAGTAACAGTTCCGCATTTTCCTAATTAATTGATAATTCATGAAAGAAGACAAAGGTATTTGCTATGTCAAAGGAACGACAACATTTAAAGACATAAGTGAATGAACTAACTAAAGATAATCAATAATGTTTAAGTAGTTTTAATGCGCGGCGATCTTGCCTCTTGCTGTCGCTGCCGTCACTACGAAGCTCTTCCCTTGCAGAGCTTTTAGAAATCTCTTACAACCTGATTTTTTCTTTCTTTGCACAATATCCATATCTTTGTTATCATTGCAATACTAGTCGCATTATATAGTACTCTTCCCTTTTGGCTCACGCCAAATAGCGAGATATTGTGTAGTCAATACTTGTTAGAAAATAAGGAGCCCAAGTGCTGATTTCAGCGGTTTCTGCTTGGGAACGAGGTGGTGGGTCATTCTGCTCTGCGTCAACCTAACCTTGTAAACAGACTAACAGCTATTGTGTCTACTAGTTTGTATGTTTATATGTTTCCATGTATCAGGCTATGTCCATTCTATGCTGGATAGCTTTTCGCGCCGACACCAAAAGCTATCTGGTACAGAATGAATGGCAACGGCACAGAACTGGAACAAATCCTTGAGGCGCTTAAAATATTGTACTAGAGCGTTTGGCCAAGAGGATTTGGCATAGTGCACTAAATCCCAATCCTCACTTGTGAATATTTACCTCTGCCTCAGTGTGGTCCAGTCCTCACTCCCACTCATTTACTCCCGCTACGGTCCAATTAGGACTTTTTTCTCCAAAATTCTGCATAGGCCTCGTTTTCAATTTCGTCGCCCCAAGAGAAATTGAAAACAATGCGCGGCAACGGCCATTGAATAAGGCCTATACCTTTTCACACTGCGACGAAGCAGGTAGAAACCTATCCGATGTATGACCATCCACGTTCATTATCGGCGCGGCACAGCTTAGCTCCGTGGCAGAAATCGCGCCTAAATCACCTTTCTTATATATGAACAGAAGCCCTTTCCCTTTATTGTTTTCGTATCGGCGCAAGGGCTAACATACAAAGCGCGAGCAAAGCCTCAGAAGATTTTAAAGATTCAAACAGCGCATGGCAGGGCTCCCATCCGCCTTGAAATTCCTCGAAATTCGATCATTACTATCTTTATCCAACTGAGATTCTCAATTACCTAATTTGAAGATAGAAGTTACTATCGTACTGTGAAAGAACAAGAGCTACTTTGTAAGAGGTAATTATCTTAATTCACGTCCAATTCCTAACTGCTAGTAAATGCGTGGCAACCTTTGTCTCGACACAATAAAAAAGATGTTTTTTTAGCTTGTGTAGCTGTGTGAGATCATTTTTTATCCGCCAGTTTAAAGAAAGAAATCCGCTTTGTAATAATTACGTTTACCATAGAGTGTTTATATTTTATAAGGAAAACAATTGTACATATGAGTGCCAAAGCAAATGATTTGGAAACCTTTCTCAAGTGTCACGTCGTAAATTATTGTAAAAAAATTCCATATCGCTAATGTAAAGGTGGAAGTGGTCAAGAAATAAAATTAACGACCTCTGTATGTGTCTTCAATTTACTTAGCAAATGCTTTTTCTCACATGCATTGCGAAAGTCATCTTTTTTAATGGGAGCACGGGAAACTTCGTTTAGTTGAAATTCAACATGTCACAAAGTTTCTTGTTGTGCTCTGTGGTGGGATAAAAAAATAAAGTTATCATTATTTTGAGGTCAGAAATTCCAAGCTCTCCGATTTTAGTTGCTACTTCTTACGCTGTTTCCGCAAGGAACTTTCCGATTTCTGAGAAACTAAAATTGAAAGGTCATGGTTAAATCACATTTTGCTTCATTCGTAATTAGTTCATAGAAAAGCCAGCGGATAAAATTATTACTTGAAACACGACATCATTCGAATTCTACTGGGGCATGCGCATCGGAGTAGTTAAGTCATTATCAACTAACAACTGCGACCGCGCCAGCAGCGTCAAGGAAAAACTGTGTTGTTTGTGAGAACCTAACCCCGGCCCCCTTTCCCTTTAACCCCTCCTTCAACACCTTTCCAGGGAATAGTAACTTATGTCCAAGGAAAACTTTAATTCCATTTCATTTAAGTGTCGTTTGTTCCCCTCTTTCGCCAAAATTCAAGATTGCGACTTCGATGGTGCCGTGAATAAATAGTACTGGTGAATCTATGTGAAAATGTATAAAAGGAACAAGCATTTCACCGGAAAATTGCCATCGAGAAAACAAAACTGACTACCTTTTCAAACAAACTTTAACTCGGACTAACTTTCCAACGAAACGCCAGAGAAACGTATGTTCCATTTGCATCTGACTGAAATTTCCGGCACTCCTTGGTAAGTAGAAAGCGCCCGGCACTACCATTTCAGATTCTCCTTTGCCCTCGGAAATTTTCTACAGAAACGACCCGAAACGTCGTGTGCCATCTTAATGCCTTTAAACCGGAATGTGCGGAAACTTTTCGTAAACGGCTATAATTTGTGTATTATGAAGTGCCTTGGGCTAGAATTTATCAAATCTAAAACGTTTTGCCATCACTATCTTTTAATTAAAGAACTAAGTAAACATGCCACAAAATCCTGATAAGATAATTCAGATTATGAATTGATTGTCCATCGACGCTTAGAAGCCTCTGGCAATTATTATTTGTTAGCAAAATAGAAAGATATAATGGACACGTCAATTCATAACAATCTGGTGATCCGACAACTTTGTGGTTATCTGCTTAGAGAGGTCAAGGCCACGTAATATGCCGTGAAAGCCGTGTGCAGTTGGACTAAATGGCCGTGAAGAGCAAATATGCGAATGTATCTATTCAAGAAAACCTTTCATGGTCGGATTTTGTTTTCAAAAACGTCGAGGAATATGGAAACACCACAGCGATTGTAAGTTTGTAAAGCTTAATATGTATTCATAAACTGTAATCCTTGAAAATATTGCAACAGTTCCGCTTCATGAGTTGAAAGAAACTTCTAAGTTAGTTGTGCTTTACATGAAAACCGGACGAATGAACCAAAGTGCGATATATCTTTAGTCAACTTTAATATTTCAAGTGGTATTTTCGAGTTTGGAGCTGTGGAAGTTGAATGAGTAGACATAGCAGACACAAGGCCTAATCGGATACATCAAACTGGTATACCGCGCAACTTCTAGAACTTCAATTTGGTTCAGGATAACCTACTACCTATGTTTTTGTAGTTTATACATTATATCTTGGTTACTAAAAGAAAGTTGGAAGACCGAACTGAGCATTATGACAAGTAGAAGAAAAATAGCCCCGCCAGGTCGGGTTAAGGCAACAAACTAAGATTGCATGCAATCAGTGCTTCCTTTTTCAAGATCAAGCAACTGGAACGGAGATGCCGATATTCTAATTAGCATTGTTCTCGTTAGAATTGATTATCAATGGATAAGGTCGACGCTTAAGAAACCAGGAGCGCTTTCCATTTGTATGGAAAACCCGGTAATTTTGGGGATATTTCAATTGGAACGGTTCATCCGGGTGGAAATTTTCCGGAAAAAAAGTAATACCCTTCGAGGTATTACCTTTTCCCGTTTTTACCGAAATGACCGAAATTCTTTATACCATTTGTCTGATTAACCATTGCCAGGCTTCCTCTTGAGGCGGAAAGTGATTTGTTTTAACCCAGGCACACTCGTTATCTGATGTTTTGCAAATGATTCAATTCTAACCCCTTTCCCCTTTTCGGAAACTTTTTCAAGTCCAGTGCCATTTGTCAGAAATTTTTTACCGAAATTTGCTAACAAATGATAAGCGCTCTAGGTGTTCTGAAAAATAATTCTATCTTATATTAAAGGCATGGATTGAATTTTGTCTGCTCAAAATGTTGAATACATTCGACTCTTTCTTAACGGACACCTTTAAGACGTGACTGACACCATGTATTCCATTTATTTGACCCTCTGTATGACGGACATTACTCTTAGACGGACACTTGATGCAGGTCCCAAAGGTGTCCCTCCAAGAGGGATTTACTGTATGAGTAAAAGGAAAAATTATCCACTCATGGTTTTCATAGAATCACTTCAATACATTTGTCATGTTCATGTTCATATCTTTGTTCTTTGTCATATTGTTCATCGTGGATAATGTGTATAAAGGGTTTCGTTTATCGTTTGTCTCTCGATTGTCACTTTTAAATGCCTTTGTTTGGAAAATACAGTAAATTCTGTCTTAGATGGACACCTTTGGTAGCGGCACAAAGCGTCCGTCTAAGAGTAATGTCCGTCTTATAGACGGTCAAATAAATTGAGTACAGAAAGGCAAGGACCAAGTCTAGGTGTTTATTTTACCGAAGTGTCAGTTTTGTAGAGGTGTCTGGTAAGAGAAGGTCGAATGTAGTCGTAGTCTATAAATATATTATCCGATAATGTGGTTGTATTCTTTGTTCTTCAAAGGTGTGCGGATCCACAAAAATCTCCTACACTTTTTCTCAAGTAAGAGATCTAAGTAGGAAGTTTGGCTCGGCTCTAAGCAATAGGGGGATAATCAAAGGTGATGTGGTGGCGATCTTGGCTCCGAATGTTCCCGAGTTTGCCATTATATTCCTTGGTGTGCTTCAAATTGGTGGAGTTGTGACAGGTGTCAATCCACATTTCACGTGTCAAGAATTGACCAATCAGCTTAAGGAGTCCAATGCAAGGTGCATTGTTGCTAGTCACCAGCTGGCACACCGAGCCAAGGAGTCATCACGTGTTCTGAAAATAGATCACGTATTTATTATCGGCGATGATGACGAATGTGAGTTGGTCTCAGACCTTCTCAAAGAAGACGACTCTCACTTGCCACTTGTGACTTTCAACCCGAGAGAAGACTTAGCCATTCTTCCGTTTTCCATTGGTATCAGTGGCCTACCCAAGGCTGTCATGATAACTCATTACAATTTAGTCTCGTTTGGTTCCTTGGTGAGCGCTGAAGAATTCTTGGATTTTAGAGAAAATTCAAGGGTCTTCACAACCGCACCTTTCTACCAAGCCTTTGGTTCAATAGCTGTGTTGTCTCTTTGCCTGTTCCGTGGAGCCACCCTAATCTCCGTGCCAAGATTTGAATACAGCAAAGTTTTCCATCTCTTGCAAGACCATAAGGTGAGAAGTAGTTTTGCAAATCGAATGCGTACATAGGTAGATGGACTTTCGACTACACCGCACTCTTACATTGCACTAAAAGATAGCAATCGTTATCTGAAAAAATAAACAGTATAAGCTGTTCTTGCCACCACTCTCTTAAGCGACAAGCTCAAGGTGCGACCAGAATTCCAATGTTTTGAAAATGGCACAAGTTTAGAATTCCAATGTTTGGAAAAAGGCGTAATTTACAATTCAAATGTTTGAAAAAAGGCGAAATTTAGAATTCCAATGTTTGGAAAGAGCAAAAATTTAGAATTCCAACGTTTGGAGAAGCTAAATTTAGAATTCCAATGTTTGGAAAAGCTAAAATTTAGAATTCCAATGTTTAAAAAGCTAAACTTTAAGAATTCCAATGTTTGGAAAAAGCCAAAATTTAGAATTCCAATGTTTGGAAAAGCTAAAATTTCGAATTCCAATGTTTAAAAAGCTAAACTTTTAGAATCCCAGTGTTTGGAAAAAGTCAAAATTTAGAATTTCAATGTTTGGAAAAGCTAAAATTTAGAATTCCAATGTTTGGAAAAGCTAAAATTAAGAATTCCAATGTTTCCAAAAAGGGGAAATTTAGAATTCCGATCTTTGAAAACAGGCGAAATTTAACATTCCAGTGTTTAGAAAAAGCAAACATTTAGAATTCGAATCTTTCGAAAAAGGCGAAATTTAGAATTTCAGTGTCTGGAAAAGGCAAAATTTGGAATTCCAATAATTGGAAAAAGCCAAAATTTTGAATTCGAATGTGTGGAAATACCAAAATGTAGAATAGAGATGTTTGGAAATTGCCGAAATTTACAATTCCAATGTTTCGAAAAAGCCAAAATTTAGAATTCCAATGTTTGGAAAAAGCCAAAATGTAGAATTGTAATCTTTGAAAAACGCCAAAATGTAAAATTGCAAAGTTTAGAAAGGCAAAATTTGGGATTCCCATGTTTGGAAAAAGCGAAAATTTAGATTTGCAATGTTTGGAGAAGCCAAAATTATAGAATTCAGATATTTGGAAAAGTCAAAATGTAGAATTCCAATGTTTGAAAAAACCCAAATTTTGAATACCAATGTTTGGAAAAAGTCAAGATTTACGATTCCAATATTTGGAAAAAGACAAAATTTAAAATTCCATTGTTTGGAAAAGCCAAAGTTTATAGTCCTCATGTTTCGAAAAGGCAAAATTTGGGATTCCGATGTTTGGAAAAAGCCAAAATTTAGAATTTCAATGTTTGGAAAAAGTCAAAATTTATGTTTCCAATATTTGGAAAAAGCAAAAATTTAAAATTCCAGTGTTTGGAAAAGCCCAAGTTTAGAATTGTAATGTTTCGAAAAGGCAAAATTTGGGATTCCGATGTTTGGAAAAGCCAAAATTTAGAATACCAATGTTTGGAAAAAGTCGAAATTTACGATTCCAAAATTTAGAAGAAACCATAATTTACAATTCCAGTGTTTGGAAAAGCCAAAGTTTACAATTCCAATCTTTGGAAAAGGCAAAATTTCGGATTCCGATGTTTGGAAAATGCCAAAATTTATAGTTCCAATGTTTGGAAAAGCCAAAGTTTAAAATTCCAGTGATTGGAAAAGGCAAAATTTAGAATTTCAATGTTTGGAAAAAGCCGAAATTTAGAATTCCAGTGTTTCGAAAAGCCAAAGTTTGGAATTCCAATGTATATAAAGAGCAAAATTTAGAATTTCAAAGTTTAAAAATTGCCAAAATTTAAAATTGCATTGTTTGGAAAAGCTAAAATTTAGAATTCTAGTGTTTGAAAAAGCCAAAGTTTGATATTCTAGTCTTTGGAAAAAGCAAAATTTAGAATTCCATTGTTTGAAAAAAGCCAAAATTTAGAATTCCAATGTTTGGAAAAGCCAAAGTTTAGAACTCCCATGTTTTTTAAAAGCAAAATTTAGAATTGTAGTGTTTGAAAAGGGCAAAAATTTAAAATTAAAATGTTTGGAAAAGCTAAAATTTAGAATTGCAATATTTGGAATAAGTTAATATTTAGAATTCCAATGTTTGGAAAAAGCGAAAATTTAGGGTTAAGGTTATTCCAATATTTGAAAAAAGCGAAAATTTAGAATTCCAATCGTTAAAAAAAGCGGAAATTTAGGATTCCAACGTTTGGAAAAAGCCGAAATTTAGAATTCCAATGTTTGGAAAAGCCAAAGTTTTGAATTCCAATGTTTGGAAAAGACAAAATTTAGAATTCCATTGTTTGGAAAAAGCCGAAATTTAGAATTCCAATTTTTGAAAAAGCCTAAGTTTAGAATCCTAACGTTCATAAAAGGCAAAATTTAAAATTCCAATGTCTGGAAAAAGCCAAAATTTGCAATTCAAGTGTTTGGAAAAGGGCAAAATTTAAAATTGGTATGTTTCGAAAAGACAAAATTTAGAATTCCAATGTTTGGAAATAGTTAATATTCGGCATTCCAATCTTTAGAAAAAAAATTTAGAATTCCAATGTTTGGAAAAGCCAAAGTTTAGAATTCCGATGTTAGGAAAAAGCCAACATTTAGAACTCCAAAGTTTGGAAAAAGTCAAAGTTTAAAATTCCATTGTTTCGGAAAGCCAAAATTTAGAATTCCAATGTTTGAAAAAAGCCAAAATTTAGAATTCCAATGTTTGGAAAAAGCCAAAGGTTAGAATTTCAATGTTTCGAAAAGCCAAAGTTTAGAATTCCAATGTTGGGAAAAGGCAAAATTTAGAATTCCAATGTTTGAAAAGAGCCGAAATTTAGAATTCCAATGTTTGGAGAAGCCAAAATTTGGAATTCAGGTGTTTGGATAAGTTAAAATTTAGAATTTCAGTGTTTAGAAAAATTAAAATCTAGAAATCCAATGTTTGGAAAAAAAGCCAAAATTTAGAATTCCAATAATTGGAAAAAGCAAAATTTTAGAATTCCAATGTTTGGAAAAGTTAAAATTTTAAAGTCCAATGTTTGGAAAAAGGCCAAATTTAGAATCCCAATTTTAAGTTAAAGCCAGAAGTTATAATTTTAATGTTGGGAAAAGCCAAAGTTTAGATTTCCAGTGTTTTGGAAAGGGAAAATTTAGAATTCCAATGTTTGGAAAAAGTTAATATCTGGAATTCCAATGTTTGGAAAAAACAAAATTTAGATTTCCAATGTTTGAATAAAGCCAAAATTTAGAATTTCAATGTGTAGGAAAAGCCAAAATTTAGAATACCAATTTTTGGAAAAGACGAATTTAGAATTGCAATCTTTTTAAAAAGCCAAAATTTAGAACTTCAATGTTTGGAAAAAGCCAAAGGTTAGAATTTCAATGTTTCGAAAAGCCAAAGTTTAGAATTCCAAAGTTGGGAAAAGGCAAAATTTAAAATTCCAATGTTTAGAAAAAGCCAAAATTTAGAATTCCAATGTTGGGAAAAAGCCAAAATTTAAAATCCAGTGTTTGGAAAGACCCAAAATTTAGAAACCCAATGTTTGGAGAGAAGCCAATATTTAGAAATCCAACGGTTAGAAAAAGCGAAAATTTAGGATTCGAATGTTTGGAAAAGCATAAGTTTACAATTGCAATGTTTGCAAAAGGAAAAATGTAGAAGTCCAATGTTTGGAAAAAGCCAAAATTTAGAATTCCAATTTTTGAAAAAGGCCAAAATTTAAAATTGCAATGTTTGGGAAAGCTAAAATTTAGAATTCCAATGTTTGGAAAAAGTTAATATCTGGGATTCCAATGTTTGGAAAAAAAAAAACTTAGATTTCCAATGTTTGGAAAAGGCAAAATTTGGAATTCCAATGTTTGGAAAAAGTTAATATCTGGAATTCCAAAGTTTGGAGAAAAAAAATTTAAATTTCAAATGTTTGGAAAAGGCACAGTTTGGAATTCCAACGTTTGAAAGAAGCCTAAATTTAGAATTCCAATGTTTGGAAAAGCCCAAGTTCAGAATTCCAATGACTGAAAAAGGGGGAAATTTAGAATTCCAATCTTTGAAAAAGGGCGATATTTAAAATTCCAACTTTTGGAAAAGCAAAAATTTAGAATTCGAATCTTTCGAAAACAGCGAAATTTAGTATTCCAGTGTTTGGAAAAAGGCGAAATTCAGAATACCAATCATTTGGAAAAAGGCGAGATTTAGAATTTCAATGCTTGGAAAAAGGCGAAACTTAGAATTCCAATCTTTGGAAAAGGGAAAATTTGGAATTGCAATAATTGGAAAAAGCAAAAATTTTGAATTCGAATGTATCGAAATGCCAAAATGTAGAATACAGATGTTCGAAAAAGCCAAAATTTAGAATTCCAGTGTTTGGAAAAAAGCAAAATGTAGAATTGCACTCTTTGAAAAACGCCAAAATGTAAAATTGCAAAGTTGAGAAAAGGCAAAATTTGGGATTCCAGTGTTTGGAAAAAGCGAAAATTTAGATTTTCAATCTTCGGAAAAGCCAAATTTAGAATTCAGATCTTTGGAAAAGTCAAAATGTAAAATTCCAATCTTTGGAAAAAGCCTAAATTTAGAATACCAGTGTTTAGAAAAAGTCAAAATTTAGGATTCCAATATTTGAAAAAAGCCAAACTTCAGGATTCCAATGTTTGGAAAAGTCAAAGTTTAGAATTCTAATGTTTCGAAAAGGCAAAATCTGGGATTCTAATGTTTGGAAAAAGGCAAAATTTAGAATTCCAATGTTTGGAAAAGCTAAAATTTAGAATTCGAATGAATGGAAAAAGGTAATATTTAGAATTCCAATCTTTGGAAAAAGCCAAAATTTAAAATTATGGCTTTTCCAAACATTGGAAGTCTAAATTTTGTAAGAAATTAAGGGTAAAAGAGACGAAATTAATTGTATACGAGTCAAGGATTCATGCATTTATGAGTTCTGAGTCACATTACTTTAATCCTAACCTAATCCCTAGTCCTACCTCTACAGAAAACCCAAAGCCTAACCATGACCTCTAATCTGGCTCGCAGCTTGACTTGTAACCCTTAGTGAATCATAATTTTGAGAAAACAAGCTTTCTCCCTCGTTTGAACTGTAGCGACTGTTCGAGCGATCAAGATTTAAGCTTCTTACATTGGTTTGCAGGTGACTCATCTTGTAACAGAGGCGTCAACAGTGCATGCGATATCTAAACATCCAACGGTCGACAATCACGACTTGACCTCACTAACCCAGATAATATCAAGTTCTTCTTCGTTAAGCAAGAAGACTTCAAGAAACGTGATCAAACGAATACCTCGATTGAAAAGAATCAGTCAATGTGAGTGAACCCTGTATACAGTGGCGGATCCAGGAGAGGGGCCCGGGAGGCCCGCCCCCCCCCTTGTTTTTACACCAAACTGAGGCCCGAGGGGCCGAAAAAAAGTTTTTTTGCGACTGCCCCCCTCCTCCCCCTTATCTGGAGGTCTGGATGCGTCACTGGTATAAACACATGACATTATCACTATCCTTGTAGTCCCTTTTTATTGTTCTTACTTCTTGTCCTTTCTTCTTATTTCCTTCGCCTCCCTTCGCTTCGCGTCCTCTCTTTCTCCAGTGACAGTCCTTCCATTGTGTCTTGTTTTTTTTTTGTTCATTTTACTCTCAATATAATTCAATATGATTTAAGAACAGTCGAGGCGTGTGTGGCCGAGCAGCCAACACCTCGAACTCTGGTCGGGGGTTCAAGCCTCGCCCGTTGCGTTGTTTCCTTAGACAAGGAAGTTTACTCCACTTTGTCTCTCTTAACCCAGGTGTATAAATGGATACCGGCGACATACTGCTTGAGGGTAACCCTGCGATGGGCTAGCATGCCGTCCAGTGGGGAGTAACAATACTCCTAGGCTTGCTTCCTGCTACGGAAACCGGAAATAAGCTCCGGCCGTGTAGGCCTTTGGCTCGAGTGCGCCTTTACCTTTTTTTATAATTTAAGAACTCGCCGGGCAAAGTTCGTCTGGTTTGCCAACAGATTTGTTCCTGAAAATCTGTTTGATGATTATGCGTTTTGCTTTGTTGAGTATCTGAATTGGATACGTTCTCGAAATTAGTTTAATTATAACCTCTAAAAATAACTTAAGTGAAATTCAGATATCCCGGCCAACGCGAACGCCCGAAGATTCCCTTTCTGTCGCATTATTCTCTGTTAATCTGACTTAGATAAATAAACTCAAAACAAGGCTCATCTCCGTAAACTATGTACTACTCATGCACATATGCAAGTGCCGAAGTGAAGAGGAATGTAGTGCCTGAAATCTGATCGTTATGTTCAGCAGGTTACAGCATGACAGAATGCACTTCTATTAGTCACATGACCTCGCCAATGGATACAAAAGACGGATCGGTAGGGGTTCTTCTTCCAAACCTTGAGTGTAAGGTAAAGTAATGATATGCTTATAAAGTGACATGTCGGAAATAGGTGGGAGATGAAAATGGCGGCTATTTGGAATTGTGAAGACTTTATTACCGTGTTTTAAATTCGCCATAAATAGCGCTGTGTACAGATTCTAAAAGTAGTCTACGTCTGATAAGACCCCCAGCATGACTCAGACAAACTTTGCTTCTCACTCAAAGGCTTTGTATGCGCGTTTACAGAGTGTTGAGTCAAAACATTGTTTTTTTTCGCGTATTTTTATCAGGATATGGTAAACAACAAGCGTTACAGCTGGGAAGAATGTGAGAGGGACTCAAGGATCCCTGAAAAAGTGGTCTGAGTCACTAAATAAATGCGAGAAATCCGGCAGGAAAGCGAAGTACACTGTGTTTTCTGGCAGTGATCAGGCAGCCGGGAAATGTTTTGAAAGTGTTAGATACGTGACAGTCTTAAATTTATTCCATTTTCACGAATTCTCCGATTTAATTCTTCTAAAAACATAAAATGCTTCTGTAGAAATCTCAAGCGATTGCCCTTGGTTTGAGGTAGACTAAATCGTCAACCTTGGGTATTTTGTGAATTCTCGTTGTTTTCAACACCTCATCGGCGTGACGCACAGAGTCAGTTTTCATGGTATCCGGAAAAATTATCGTCCAAACCTGCCAGAAACATTTGATGTTTGTTCGCAAACGCCAAGCAACTCTAAAACAGGTTTGGTCTTGTAGTGGACGAATTCCCCAAGCTTGAGCATATTCGAATCTCGAGTCGCGGGGACGGTTTTCAGAATACTGTAACCCGGAACGGCCCAGTAGTCTAAATATAAACTACGCAGGTCTCTCTGTTTTTCACGAAAATCTGAATTTATCGAATATGTGGTACGACTACGACTCTTTCTACTTCGGCAAGGGAATCAAAATTTCTACACAATCATCGAACTTGATGAGAATTCTTTGAAAACATTTATCGCCTGGGCTGCAAATAAGGTATCGAGACACAGCGTTTAAAAGTTCTCTAATTTTTCCGCTCTGCTTCAATCCTTTGCACTTGAGCAATGTTTTGATTTGTTCTACATTGTATTTTCCTAAACTTTTCTCGAATTTCGTAACTGGAGCGCTAAAACGACGAGCAGAACTGATCGCAAACTCTGCGTTTCCATACAGCGTTCTTGCGACCTCTACCAGTAATGGCCAATGTTTGTCTGAGTCTCGGTGGGGGGTCACGTTTTTGTGACGTCATCTGTACCTAGCGCTATTCGCAATTAATTTGTGATACAATAGAACCACTTAGTCTCAGAATCGCCGCTAAATAGAATTCAGTTTTCTTTACCCTTGGCTTCATTCTCATTGAATTTTACTCCCTCTTTGGAACCTTGAATAAATAGAAAAAAAAAATAGAAAACTGATCGGGTCTGAATCGGGTCAAATTGTGATAAAGGGAACGCAGATGTTTGTGATATCTTTCTTCCGGATAATTTTCTATTGAAGGTGTGTGATGTAACTACAGGTCAAACACTGGATCGCGGACAATGCGGTGAAATTTGTATCAGAGGGCCGACGGTAATGAAAGGTGAGTTCTATTGTACTGCCCCACTGGCACTAACGCAATAACTCTCTTAAAACACGCCAGCAAAGTTCAGGTCCCGGTTGTTTATAAGCGGATAGCATTATTCACCAAATAAATAACTATCCAGACTATTAAAGAAACCAATTATGCTTTTCATTGCATAGATATTTTCTCAGTGAATAGCGTTATCCACCTTTGGAACAGATCGAGTCACTTGCTGTGGGCTAACCTGCTTAAAAAGACCGAGGAGTTGACCTCCATCTAGAGGCCAGGCGAGGTTTCAATTTTAGCCCCTCCTTTTTGGCCGTTTTGAAGGTCAAGCGTGAGACTGAGTCGGTGTTGTGTCGAATTACACTATGGGACCGTTTTATAGACGTCATCTCCTCTTTTATTGGCTGTTACGAGGTTGCGCAGGAAACTGGGTCGAAATTCCTTCTCCCAAACAGTCCCATAGTGCAATTCGATACGACACGGACCCAGTCGCCAGCTCAACTTCCAAAATATAGCCAATAGCAATTTTGCCTCCTTTCCCACGCAAGGCGACTGGACAGTTCTTACGACAACAACCGGATGGTTCAGGGAATAAATAAAACACGGCTTTGCATATAACTGGATCTTCTAGCAATCATTAGAAACCAATTAATCATTAATTTTCTTTTTAGATAATCTAAAACAGAATAGCGGATTTAAGACTGAAGGTTTCAATTTATTTGGAACCTAGTTTTTTTGATTTTTTAAGATTTATTGGCGCATGTGTTCTGCGGACTTGTAAAATACTTAAGAAATTATAAATATAGAATTCATTCTGTACCTCTCACGCGCCCGGGTTTTCTTATTTTCTTCATTTTTCTTTATCTCTTGGTTGCCTTCAGGTTATTTGAAAAGCCAAGAGGCTACTGATCTTATGATCGATACAGAAGGCTGGCTTCACACGGGTGATTTGGGATACTACGACAGAGACGAACATTTTTTCATCGTCGACAAAATGAAAGATCTTATCAAAGTCAGAGGGCACCAGGTGGGTCTTAACTTTCTTTCACAGACCCTCGACAAGAGAACAGAAAGCGGAAGCTTTCACTAGTTTACAGCGGTAGAAATCTGAAAACTTGCACTCTGCGGGTCGTAGTATAAAATTTAAGTAGTATATGTATGCTAATGAAAAATAGTATTTAAAAAAACGTCACAATTCCCTACTCCAGAAACTATAAGGGAAATGGCTACAAGCTTTCGGCCCAACGATTTCTGGGATCGTTCGGGTGGACAAGCGGTACTTGTGATTGGTTAATGGTTGCCTTGAGTACCATCAACCAATCATAACTAATGCTTGTCCACCCAAACAATCCCAGAAATGTTTGCACCGGAAGGTTGTACCCATTTCCCGTATAGTTTCTGAAGAGGGGAATTGGACCGAATGCGCTGCTTTCCGAAGGGTCATCTTGCGACGAGTTCGAGAGCAACTGTGCATTGCCCAGTGGTGAGAAAGCTCGCGCGGCCTGCCGTTGTGACGAAGGTTCAAATACCGAAGGCGTGGTCATATGTGGGTTGAGTTCGTTAGTGGTTCTCGTCTTTGCTCTAAAAGGTTTTTCTATGGGTGCACTAGTTTCCCTTCTCTTTCAAAATAAGCAATTTCACATTCCAACTCGATTAGGAATGTGGTAAAAGAAGAACGAGTCCATATTCCAGCTCTATCAGAGATATGGTGTTCGAAGAACTAGTAAGTAGGGTTGCTACTTCTGAATTATCATGACGTTATAACCTTATTATTTATTAATTAATATTATATTTATTATATTTGTTCCCTCTATTTCAACCAGGTTTCCCCATCCGAACTCGAGGCTCTCCTCAGGGCCCACCCGGCTATTGAAGATGCAGCGGTTGTTGGAGTCTCAGACCCCCAGATTGGAGAACTACCAATGGCGTATGTTGTAAGCAAAAATGAGGACGAACTTACTGAAATGGAAATCATGCAATATGTGGACGAAAACGTTGCACCGCACAAGAGGCTACGAGGTGGAGTGGATTTTATCTCAACAATTCCAAAAGCTGTGAATGGTGAAATACTTCGAGCTGAATTGAGAGAGATGTACAAAAGAAACAAGTCGAAAATGCAGGCACGAAGAGGATCGTTGCCTTGGAATGAGGAAAAACGTTGGTCTTCAAAGAGACACTCTATAATGGGTCCTAGCTCAAGAGCACAGCGTCATGGTACAGTTTCAGAGGAAATACCCAGAAATGTGGCCCGATCACAAAGTTGTGCACTTCTGTAAATAAAATGTTTTGTCTTCGTAATCTATAAGCGACACATTAAAAACAGACTTTATAAATAGTTCTTGATGAAGACCTGAGCTAGAG